AGACAGCCAACACCAACTAGGTTCCTGGAGAACGAGGGGATGTGCAAGCCTCTAAGGGAGCCCGAGGGAAGGGTGGGAGAAGGAAGGGTGTTTGAGCTACATGCAATCAGTGGACTTGAGAATGGGTCAGCAAGAGCGACGGCTGCAGTGGCGTGAGCATCAGAGTCCAGCATGAAGAAAGAGCGGCGGTAGCATCACCCAGAGGAGGTACTAGGGTGGAGCCAAGGCGTAACAAGGCAGGAGGTCCTATGCCTGAGGCAGCAGAGAAGCCTAGACTACACATAGTGGACACACTTACACTAGGCAACACAGGATAATAAGGTTCAGTCATACTAGAGTCATTAACATGGCATACAAAATAGAGCTAATCTGATCCATTTCCATCTCAAAGACTGGCACATGGCGATATACAAGGCTATCCTAGTTGCAGAGGTCCAGCGCAGGGCCGAAGCGGAGACGGCAGAGGTCCTCGAGGCGGCAGTAGTAGCGGGCGGCGATGTGACAAGGACGGTCGCACACGGTGCCGCGACGGGGGCCTGTCTTAAGCTGGTACTTGTAAATCACCGTGCTGGAGCCACCACCCGCTGCTGGGCTGTGCTAGCCGCCACCGCGGCCACCACCACCATAGCTGCCAGGCCACCACGGCGGTGGGGATCGCCACGGCTGCTGCTGCTGCTGTTGGGGTTGCTGCTGATGTTGCTGCTCCTACTGCTGGGCCGGGGCATCAGCCCTGGTCCCCTCGTTTGCACCACTGGCACTCGTACCGCCTCCGCTACCGCCGCTACCCCCATCACCCCTCCCTCTGCCACGCCCCCCTCTGGGGCGGCGGCCCCTACCCTGACAGGACTGCGCTGAGGCTGCTACGGCGGTCTCGGTAGCAGGGGCTATCTCAATGACAGCGGCAGAAACGTCATAGTACAGTAAGTGCACTGGGAGGGAGCACAACCCTGGAAGATAGCGACCGCTGCAGTATCGCTAGACTGAACGATAGTGCGCTAGCGAGTCTCTATCGCGGACAGGGTGGTGACAAAGTCAGTGAGGGTAAGGTCAGCAGGGTGGAGACTAAGGAAGTGGTCGGGGGCACTGGCAAGGCGGTTAGGAAGGCCCGTGGACAGGAAGTAGAGGGTAGCACCGAGGGTGGGAGGCAGTACAGTGAGCTGAGCCTCAGTGCTAGCAGCACGATAGCTAGCCTCGAGTGCGCACAAGTGAGTAGCAAGATCAGCAACAGCGTGGAAGGATGCAAGATCATGGAACAGCAGGGGGAGAAGGAGACGGCCGGCAGAGGCGGAGGAGGGAGTGAAATAACACGCAATAACAACATCTAAGTACAATGACGGAATAAACTGTATTCAATGTTGGGCTTGTTATCAAATAACTTGTTTTTAACCATGTTGGGGGTATGTAGCTGACCACAAAGTGTTGGTGACATAAAATGTGGGTGGTTTAGGGTAGTGAAAAATGTATTGGTAGTTGCTAATATCGAATCAGCAATAACAAGTACACTAAAAAATCCACGATGGTCCATGCGGACACTTACTTCCTGCCGAGACTCTAGAACCATTTCGACCTTGCATTTCACCCTCGGTATAGGATAGGCATCGAGATCTTGCCCACAGCACGACTAGATCCTCAGCAAGTATCAGAATAGGATGCGCCCTATCAAGTCATGCATTAGAGAGAGAATTATGACCCTATTGCGCCAGGGTCTAAGCATTCGTAAAATCGCTCGCATGTTAGACTTAGGCAAGAGTACTGTCCAGAAATATGCTGAGTTGGCATGTCATCGTGACGGTCGCCTGGCTGTTAGACCGACCGCCCCTCAAAACGGTCGGCCAAGCCTGCTCTCCGTGCGGATGCGACGGGGGCTTGTGCATGCTGTGACTTCTGGCGCCGCGAAAACGAGTGCAGAGGCGGCTACACAACTCGAGTCGGAGCTGGGCATCAAGGTGTGCCCTCGAACGGTTCGAAACGCACTGAAGCAGTCTGGCCTCGTCGCTGTACAGCAACCGAAGAAACCGCGACTCTCGGCGCGGAACATTCGGGACAGATTGGAATTCGCACGAGCCCACCTGGATTGGACGATCGAAGACTGGAAGCGGGTAATCTGGTCTGACGAGACCAAAATCAACCGCTTCTGCAGTGATGGCCGCACCTATGCATGGATCCGCGACGGCACGGCCCTTCAAGGGCATCAGGTAAAACAGTATGTGAAGCATGGGGGCGGATCCTTAATGGTATGGGGCTGTATGTCCTATGATGGGCCCGGGTTCATGTGTAAAATTGAGGGGCGCATGGATGGGCAGCTGTACCGCTCGATCCTGCAGGACGAGCTCTCTCAAACGATCGACTATTACTCGCTGACCGCATGTGATGTGATTTTCCAGCATGATAATGATCCAAAGCACAAGAGTAAACTTGTGCAGGAGTTCCTCTCTGAGCAGCCATATGCAGTCCTGCAGTGGCCTTCTTCCTCCCCTGACCTTAATCCCATTGAACACCTTTGGGCTCACCTCAAACGTGAGCTTGCAAAGTATGAACGCCCCCCTACAGGCATGCTGCAGACTTGGGAGCGTGTGCAGGAGACTTGGGAGGGTATCTCCGCTGATGTCTGTAGGGGACTGATAGATAGCATACCCAGGAGGATTAAGGCTGTTGTTAGGGCAAAGGGGAGATGGACTCGTTACTAATTCAGGACATTGCAATGCCTTGTTTGAATTGGGAACAAACTGTCCGAATGTACCCTGTATAATTCTGCCTTCACAACTTCTATTTTACTAGTCTTAAATGGGCAAGTGGCTGCAGCAAAGATGTGCTAGGCTCTTTGTCTACCAACCTCAAATGACCAGGATAACTCTACACTCCTAATATTCATGTTTTATACATTTTACGTACAAAAATTGCCAACATGCGGACACTTTGTTCCGTCACTGTATGCCTTCGCAGTCTCTACAGCCTGAAAGTGGGGACGCTCGGACAGGGGGGGGGGCGTGACTGATAGCAAGATGCGCAACTGCGTCGCTCGACTCCCAAACAAAGCGGGCAAGCTCTACAGCTGCAAAGGCCTCACGCTCAGCGAGTGTGGGGGTGTTAGGAAGGGTAGCAGGCGGTTCGGGGGAGGGGAGCTTACCGTTGACGTGGACGGCCAGAGACTGGCCGTCCTAGCACTAACCCTTCAGCTGGCGGTGGAGGTTGGCGAGCCACGCCTCAAAATTGGCCGCCCGACCCTCCGCGTCCAGGCGGCGCACAGCGTTCGCCATAACCACGCCTGCAGCAGCTAACGACCGCTAGAGGAGGAGAATGGTGGCGAGTGATGGAGAGCGGTGGAGAACAAGGGAGAGCGGTGGAGCACCGTGAGGAGACATGCGGCGGACGCGCCGGCTTATAGGGGAACCAGGGCCGACGGCGAGGAGGCGCCGCGATACGGCGGCACGGCAGCACGGCGATTCGGTGGCGCTGTGGCACGGCGGTATGGCGGCACAGTAGAGCATCGGCATGGCGAGTTGGGGCAGCGCGGCTCGGCAAGCAGAGTCCGGTGGCGGACCGGCGGCGCGCAGGGGAGCCGGTGGCGAGCCGGCGAGCCGGGGCCGGCACGAGCTGGGAGGGGCTTGTGCGAACAGGGGCCGGTGAGCGAGGGCCAGCGAGCTGGGGCCGGCGAGCTGGGGCCGGCGCGAAGCCAACGAGCGAGCTAGGGCAGGGAAACGGGGCCGGCGAGCGAGGCGGCGGCGAGCTATGACTGGCGAGCTGGGGCCGGCGAGCTGGGGCCGGCGAGCTATGGCCGGCGAGCTAGGGGGGGGGCGCGCGGCAACGAGAGGGGCTCGCGCGGCGTGCGAAGGGCCAGCGGCGAGCTAGGGGCCAGCGGGCGAGCTAGGGGCCAGCAAGCGAGCTAGGGACCAGCGACGAGCGAGTGGCCAACGGCGAGCTAGGGGCCAGTGCGGCGAGGAAAGGGGCTCGCGCAGCGCATGAAGTGCCAGCGGCGAGCTAGGGGCCAGCAGGCGAGCTAGGGGCCAGCGGCGAGCTAGGGGCCAGCGGGCGAGCTAGGGGCCAGCGGCGAGTTAGGGGCCAGCGGGCTGGAGCGAGGGCGCGATAGGGCGGGCTAGGGACTAGGTCAAAAGCGCGGGCGGGAGACCTAACCTAGCGTGATACCATCTCAGAATAGCACAGTGAGAATTAGACATGGGCATACAGGGTGTTCTAATGATTGTGTCTAAGAGAATGAACCTATCTAGCCTATAGCAACACATATATATATATATATATACACATATATATACGTTTACAATACATGCATGCCTTGTTAAACTTGCTGACGTGGCCTCCTGTTTCAGTGGTCGGACTAGTAGTGCTGCCCTGGTTCGTTAAAGCCCGCAGTCCGGATTGTCCAAGAAGGGGGGTTTGTTAACACTTGAATTGGTGTAGCGAACTTTTTACTAGGGGCGCGGAGTTGGCAAAAATTTGTTGGGGTTTGTTATCCAACCAAATTCCCCTCCCCTGTTCAACTGCTTAACTTTTGGACACTCCGGACCCCGTGCTTTAAACGCTGCCTCCATCTAGGCTAATGGGTGTGTCAACAAACATACCATATTAATATACATTTATTTAGATAGAGAGTAGACGTCTGATATATATAGCCTAGCTAAGTCAGCTCTTAGAGGGGATAACACTCTACTTGTATCTCCCCTCGCCACTTTCTAGTTCACTCCTTGTCTCTAGTTTCACAAGGGGGTGTGTCAACAAATGTGCGTTTATATGTTAGCTAGGTTAGATTTGTTATAGCCTAGCTAGGTCAGTTCTTAGAGAGCACAACACCCACTCTTGTACTCTCAACATTTCCCTTTGTCACCTTTTCATGCACTATTTGTTAAAATTATATATGTGATATATATCATGATAGGCTTGATAGTGTTACTGAACCTTACTGTAGAGGGTACAATCCCCTCTGTTGGAAATATCTCAAGGACTTAAGCGTTTCTGAAGTGTAACACTGTACTCGAGGAAGATTACAGGGGAGCACGCGAGTCAACGGAGGTTACACGAGGGGGCGGACAAAGAATGCGAAAGGACTCGAAAGGTCGCAACTGGAGGTTGCGACTGACCGTTACAGCATCACGGATGGTAACCGAAGCGGCAATCGAGTCGCTGTGCGACTCGATAAACCGTTCCTGTAACTGTATTCTACAACTGCTTCCTTATCTTCTATATATTGCTGTATGCTTGTTTCTTTAATCAATCACTTGTTCTCACATACTAGTACAAGGGTTCAACTGCCTCAACTTCCGCTGCACTACTCAAAGTCTCAAGTCTCTACAGCTGGGACTTAGTCTCTGCAAAAGATCCTAAGGGCTTTTCTCAGCCCAACATGGTATCAGAGCTGGTCAGAGACCAAACTCCCAGCAACTACACTCCATCAACAACCAGCAACTCAACTTGATTCAACAACTCCATTGATTGCAAGACATGGACAACAAAGGCAAGAAAGTCTCTACGGGCTCACCCAGCGCCCAAGAAACTCAACACGGCAACTCTGGTCTGCACACCTCAGGACTGCAGACAGAGACCGGGACTGCTCAAGAAACAACGGGAAGAGTACCAGAGATGGTGACTCCGTCTCCCTCTTCAAGTGTGGACCCGAATCTCATGGAGAGATTCTTCAGCTTCATGTCACACTTCGACCAGCAGCAGCAGACAAGGACACCTGCGCAATCAACACAGAGCAATGGAGGGAATATGGGATTAGCACCGATGAGCCTCGACAACTCATCCTTCGGGCGACACAACCAAGCGCCTACCTTTGCGCCTTATCATTCTTCGCCGGGGACGTTCGAATTCATGCCGCCCCGTGCCCAGCCAACAGCAGCTGCATCACAACAAACACCGAATGAAATCTTAAGTTTACAGGCGCAGTTCTCACACGTGATCAAACTTCAGACATCCTCACCGTTCAACGGACACGACTTCTTTACCTGGAGCTTCGAGTTCGAGCTGCTGATGGAGGCCGCGCATCTTCTGGGATACTTCAACGGGTCCCTGCCATTCCCAAGCAACGGCACTGGGAAGGAACAAGAGATCTTCACGTATCAGTCGCTGCTGGCGTACACGGTACTCCTGAGAAACCTGTCACCACAAGAGCAGCAGAGCATCAGAACGTATCGGAGTTATGGAAACTCCGCGGAGCTCGCATGGCACCACCTCAAGTGCCTTTACCAAGCAAACGACAGCGTGACACAAAGCAGACTCATGCAACAGCTGACAACAATACAGATGAAGACCGGGGAAAAGGCGATGCAGTATATGAGTCGCTGCCAGACCCTCCGCGACCGCCTGCTTCGGTGCGGAGGAACGATCACTGAAGAAAGCTTCGTGACACTTGTCCTCGCCGGGCTCGGGCCAGAATGGAGAACCACACGATCACTTCTTCGCGCCCACGGAAGGATCTCGGAGATGCACCTCTGCGCCGAGCTTCACGCTGAACAACAGGAGATGGATCTGTTCGAAGAAAGACAACCAAGGAAGCAACAGCAGTTAGTCTTCTACACTCAACGAAGAAATGACAACAACTACAACCGACGCAGCAAGCAAGATCAACGTGACAACCGAGGACTCACCATCATGCCGCCGTTCTGCCACAACTGCCAGACTTCCGGGCACTCCAAAGTCAACTGCAACCGCCCTCGCGTTTACCGTGCAGCAGACCCACAAGTCGCTTCCACTCAAGCAAGTCCTCCAAGGCGCCCTTCAACCTCTGCACAACAAACACCCAACATCATCAACTGCATGGTACACATCGACAACTGCGCACCCGGATCACCACCCACTTACGCACCAGACGAAGAGGAATTCCCGCCGCCGCGCTCGCAAGGACTTCAGGTCAACCCGACATACGCTGCGGTCGCCAACGCCGAACCCACCGGGCGAAACACCTGGTTCTTGGACAGCTGCTGCGGTCAACACATGTGCTCCTCGGGACGCTTCGTGCAACAGGAGAAACGCCTCAACCGCGACGTCGTCATCACCGTCGCCAACAACGAAAACCTGAAAACAAACAGGCAAGGCGTGGTTCAGTTACAATCAATGGAGACAAACGTTATTCTTCAGCTCAACAAAGTCCTCATCGTCGACAATCTGGGATACAACCTACTAAGCGTAAGCCAACTAATGGCTAAGGGGATTCACCTGGAGTGCGACTCCTTCTCCAATGAGTTCCGACTTTACCACGGGAAGGGCGGTCTCTTCATCGGTCGTGCCCTCCTGAAGTCCGGTGTCTTCGTGTTGGACTTCGTCCCCGACCGCGGAACTGCCGACAGCGATGGCATCGTATCGTTCGCCGCCTGGACTCACCCACCAGATCTTGATCCCGACTTCGACAGTGACGGCTTCTGGCACTCCAACACCATACCTGCAGCAGAGAGAACACGGGCATTAGCAGTTATCAGACAAGAAAGACAAGTACCAGCAAGCGTCCCAACAAAACCATCACCTGCAGTATCGGCAGCAGGACCCAGCCGAGTACCACCACCATCAACACGAGGACCGCCAACGGAAGCAGACCAACTTATGCCCGCCACACGAGAAGCTTGTCGAAGTCCCGCCTCGGTCGTCGCGTTCTTCTCCAACGCCGACATCTACCACCGCTCGCCCGGTCACCGCGCTCCCGACGACATCTGGCACCAACGTCTCGGACATCCTGCAAACAGCACGATACTACAAACAATACAAGCAGAGGTGTTAGAACGTAACGCCCTTCTAACGACGAGCGGCCAAGAACTTCGCCGACCAAGAGCACGATGCTTCACGTGCCCCAAAGCAGATCTTCCTCATCAACCTTTCCCAGCCCATCACAATCCAAGCGCACCCACTTACGCTCCGATGGAAAAGGTCTACAGCGATATTCTAAACATGCCTCGAGACGACACCGAAGCCAACTTCAACTACGTCATCACGTTCATCGACGCCGCAACCAGATACGTCTGGCACTTCAATCTCAAAACGCGCGATCAAGCCTTCGAGGCCTTCACCACATGGCTTCCAATCGCCGAACGAGAGTCAGGAACCAAACTCAAGAGTTTCCAGTCAGACGGTGCACTGGAATACCAGTCACAACGCTTCAGGACCTATCTCGCGGAAAGGGGAATCCGACGCCTGGTGTCTCTGCCCTATGCTCACCAGCAGCAGGGGGTAGCAGAACGCATGAACCGGACCTTGCAGACGACGATGCGAAAACTGCTTCTGGGGATGAAGCTACCCAATACACTGTGGCCAGACGCGATGACACATGCAGTCCACCTGCACAACCTGTTGTCCTCGTCATCGCTCCCCAACAACGCATCACCGCACCTGCTGTGGACGGGAAAAAGGGGCAGCACAAAATTACTTCGAGTTTTCGGCTGCATGGTACAATACAGACCCCACACAGCTCGAGCAGGACGCTTCACTCAACGAGCTCGGTGGGGACTACACCTCGGCATCGCCAAACATTTTCACGCGTGGAAGATTCTCGACATACACGACAAAAATACGGTGGCATCACGTGATGTTATCTTCTACGAGCGATTGACGCTGCAGCATTACCTGGACAACATTGCCAACTCAGACGACCCCACCGACGGCTTCGCGGGCCTTCGCTCCTTCGCTGACCATGCTGCCGAGGCTGACGCAGCAGAAGAAGACGTCCCTGGAGCCTCGGAGGCTGCCGGACCACTCCCCTACTGCTCCGTACCTGTTCCACTCGATGAAGATAATCCCCTCGATAGCAACAACCTCGACACCTTTTACCACTTCGCTGACCAAGGCTACGCTACACCACACCCCGTCGACTCGAATATTTCCGAACGCATCGGGCCAAACTTCTTACCCGATCCTGAAGACGGTGATGAAGCAGCTTATCCCGAGAATGAAAACTCCCCTCGACACACAGCCACGGGACTGCAGATCCTAGGACTATGGGTCTCCGTCCAGCACCCGCCGCCGCCTTCTCCGCGCGAACCGTCGACCCTGTCGCAGGCTCTGGGGGGGGGAACATAAGGCACAATGGAAGGAAGCGATGGAAAAAGAGTTAAAAGCTCTGCAAGACCGAGAAACATGGAAACTGGTACCTGCAACGAGCATCAACGGGAAGAACATTCTCTCGGGGAAATGGGTGTACCGCATCAAGACCAACTCAGACGGCTCCATCGAACGATTCAAAGCTCGATGGGTCGTACGAGGCTTCGATCAACGATACGGAACCGACTACACAGAAACCTTCGCTCCAGTCTCCCGTCACACCTCTCTGCGCATCCTACTCGCCATCGCGGCCACGAAGAAACTACCACTACGGCAAATCGACGTTGCAAACGCCTTCTTGTACGCACCTGTGGACGCCGAAATCTTCGTCGAACAACCCCACGGATTCATCGACGACCCTTCAAAAGTATGCCAGCTGGAAAAATCCCTTTACGGGATCAAGCAAGCCCCACGGCTCTGGCAGCAGCACCTTCACGGCCGGCTCGTAAAAATCGGATTCCTACAGCTACCACATGACCAAGGCATGTACCGACTACAGAAGGGAAGAGATTACATTCTGCTCATCGTCTACGTCGACGACCTGCTCTACATCGGTTCTACCACCGACATCGTCACCTGGTTCGAAGGGGAGCTGAAAAGGGACCTGACGCTCACGGTGTCCGACGAAGTGACGCAGTACCTAGGACTGAACGTCGTCGAAGACGACACGGCGTTCTACCTACACGCTGGAAAGTACTCAAGCACCGTCGCGAAGAAATTCGGTCTAACACCGACTGCGGTCCCAACTCCCTACCGCTACGGGAACAACAGTAGCGCCTCCACAAAACTCCCCGCGAAACAAATCCAGGAGTATCAACAGAAGCTCGGCTGTCTACTATTCGCAACAGTAACCTGCCGACCCGACCTATCCTATAGTGCGAGCCAGCTGGCGACACATCTGAAGCAGCCGCAACAGGAAGATCTCGAAGAACTCAATCGAGCGCTACTCTACTTCGTCTCCACGCCGACGATCGGGCTCACCTACAGCAAGGCAACAACACCGTCCGTACGACTACTCGGATACGTCGACGCCGACCACGCGGGAGACAGCGAAAATCGACGGTCTAGGACGGGCTACATCTACCGACTAGAACCTATCGGAACTATCTCCTGGCAGTCGAGCAAGCAGGAGTTAATCGCACTATCCTCGGCTGAAGCAGAGTATATCGCCCTTTGTACTGCGACCAAGGAAGGACTCTACCTACGAGAGTTACTCGAAGAAGCGAAGATCGCGACCCTGCCCACCTTCTCACTCCTCTGCGACAACCAATCTGCGATAAAAATCGCGAACAAGGACGGCTTCGCCAACCGAACCAAGCACATCGCCCTGCGGTACTTCTTCGTCAAGGATGAAATCGCGAAGGGGAGACTTCAACTCAGTTACTGCCCGACGACAGAAATGGCCGCAGATTATCTGACGAAGAAATTGGCGAAAGCAAAATTCGACTACTGCATGCTCCTAACCGGGCAAACAAACGTCACCGGATCTGAACACTCCAGCACTCCAGAAACGAAGGGGAGTGTTGGAAATATCTCAAGGGCTTAAGCGTTTCTGAAGTGTAACACTGTACTCGAGGAAGATTACAGGGGAGCACGCGAGTCAACGGAGGTTACACGAGGGGGCGGACAAAGAATGCGAAAGGACTCGAAAGGTCGCAACTGGAGGTTGCGACTGACCGTTACAGCATCACGGATGGTAACCGAAGCGGCAATCGAGTCGCTGTGCGACTCGATAAACCGTTCCTGTAACTGTATTCTACAACTGCTTCCTTATCTTCTATATATTGCTGTATGCTTGTTTCTTTAATCAATCGCTTGTTCTCACATACTAGTACAAGGGTTCAACTGCCTCAACTTCCGCTGCACTACTCAAAGTCTCAAGTCTCTACAGCTGGGACTTAGTCTCTGCAAAAGATCCTAAGGGCTTTTCTCAGCCCAACACCCTCGTATGCCTCTCTCTTCCTAGTCTTACTCCCCTTTTTCTCGCGTAACTTTTCTTCTCGTTCCTAAACCTCTCGCCATTCTACGGCAATGGCATCCTAGCTACCTGATCTTCTGACACTATTCTGACAGGGTGGGGATGGGATCAAAACCACCATCTTTCAACATGGGGATGAACAGAAATTCACGTTTGATGTTAACAGATGTGGAGCAGAACCATCTTTTTCTGCAAGATGTGGATAGTTCAAAGGTATGGCCAAGATACCATGATGTCCTAACAGCTCTACTACTAATAACGTCGGTAGCAAGCAACCAGAGGAATGCAGCGAGGCAAGAGGAAGCCTTCGCAGCGCCACCACTAGCAAAATCCCCTGCCCCAATTCTGTCTGCAATCCACTTCACTTCGAACATCATGGTGAGGCGACCCCTGCCTGTTCCCTAACCTTCTTACTAAGTGTCCGCTCAGAGCCACAACACTCTGTCCCAAGCTGAACCCCCTCCTTTCCCAATCAGGCCTTCCCCATCCATTTCACCAACACGTTGAGCATCCCTGCCCTCTCCCCTGCCCTCTCCCCTGCCCTCTCCCCTGCCCTCTCCCCTGCCCTCTCCCCTGCCTTCTTCCCAACTCCTCACTCCCTGCCTCCACCACCAAATGCCGAAAACTCAGTCCCAAGCAGACGCCCCTCCTTCCCCAATCTGGTCAACCCATTCACTCTTCAGCACCTTGGCCATCCCCGCCTTCTTCCCTGCCCTCTCTTCACTTCTCATGCCTTGGCCAATCCCTGCCTTTGCATCCATCATCTCCTTATCATCCGCCTCTCCCTTCCCCACCCCCTGAATCACCACTTCCGCCTTCCTCTTCACTCCCTTCTCACCGCCTCCCTTCTTCCCCTCTCCCTTTGCTTCCACTTCCTTCCCACCCCCCACCTTCCTCTCACCCCCCTTCCTGTCCAATACCACTGGTAACAACATGCCCCCCTGCACGTCCTTCCCATCCCCTTTCGTCCCGTGCTTCCCTCTCCTCCCACTCTTCCCCTCTGTTACTACTCTGGCTGCCACCGTCGCAGCAGCAGCAGCAGCAGCAGCAGCAGCAGCAGCAGCAGCAGCAGCAGCAGCAGCAGCAGCAGCAGCGGCACAATGAAGCTGGTTCGCCTGCTCCTCCTGCCCCCTTTTCCGCCTCTTCTCCTGTTGAACCCCTTCCTTCTTTTCCGTCTCCCTCTCCACCATCACCATCTCCTCCGTTTCCTTCGACTCCTCCTTCTGTCCCTCCTGCTTCCCCCCCTTCTGCTTCTGCCCCTCGTCACCCTCCTGCTGCTCATCTCCCTTCAGCTTCTTCGCCCACTTCTTCTTCTTACCCTCCTCTCCCTTCCCCTCCTTTGTCTCCCCATCTTCCATAGTAGCATCTCTGCTGCTATCTCCCTGTACCTGAAACTCGCCCTCCCCAGCAGGGCCTCCACTGCCCTTCTCCCCCTCTCCTCTCCCCTGTCCCCTACCCCCTCCCTTCCCCACTTTACGGGAATCCAGCAGCCGTAGGCGCGGCAGGTGCTTCAGAATCTGGCAAAGGCGAGGTGGGGGGGATTCACACGAGGTGCAGAAGAGAGGGGGCAGGGGAAAGGGGTAGGGGGGGAGGGATTCGCACATTCTTTTAAGGTTGGTGGTTACTTTCAGCAGCCAAGAAGCACCGAGCGAAGCTAGCACCCATGCCGCCCAGCACCTGTGCGCCATAATCTCTGCCTTTTGACTTGACTCACGAGCACTACCAGGTAAACCCCTACCTGAGCCTCAATCGCTGCCACGCTGTCCCAGAGCAGAGGGTTGGCGCGCACAGAGAGCGAGGAAAGGCCGCGAGGCAAGACGGTGGGCATACCAAGCATGCAAGCATACAACACTGCATGCATGCATGCATGCAGACCCACAGACCCAACACAGTTGACCCTCCCTCTCACCTGCGCCTCAACTGCAGCCGCGTTGTCCCCCAGCAGAGGGTTGCCGCGCACAGAGAGCGAGGAGAGGCGTGGGAACACCACGAGGGTGGGCAGGGAGAGGAGCTTGAGAGAGGGGATTCGGTTGGAGGAGAGGTCGAGGATGCGGAGACGGGTGAGAGTGGAGAGAGAGGGAGTGATGACCTGGTTGTGGGGGAAAAGGGGGGAGGGGGGGAGAGGGGGAGGGGGGGAGGGGGGGGGAGGGGGAGGGGGGGAGAGGGGGAGGGGGAGAGACGGGGAGGGGGGGAGAGGGGGAGGGGGGGAGAGGGGGATGGGGGGAGAGGGGGAGGGGGGGAGAGGGGGAGGGGGGGAGAGGGGGAGGGGGAGAGAGAGGGAGGGGGGGGGAGGGGGAGAGGGGGAGAGGGGGAGAGGGGGAGGGGGGAGAGGGGGAGGGGGGGAGAGGGGGAGGGGGGAGGGGGGGAGAGGGGGAGGGGGGGCGCAGTAGCAGAGATGAAAATGAATCAAGAAAGGAGGGCGACGAGGTTGAGGGAGGGGATTTGATTGGAGGAGAGGTCGAGGATGCGAGGAGGGTGAGGGAGGTGAGGGAGGGGGAGATGGCCTGATGGGGGTGGTGTTGCAGGAACAGTGCCATGCAATTGGGAATACACTATTTCTATAAGTGTCAAGTATTGCTTCTGTATCGCATGTGAATATATATATTTAGAAATCTCGAAACTCTGTTAGATATGTATGCAACGCCCAGTGGATGGTAAACATAACAATGTACAAGTGAAACGGACAAAATATAATTTGTGTAACGATGCGCTGCATTAGAAAAGCATCGGGTGAAAACGCCGAGGGGTTAAATGGAACTCGTGATGTAAAACAATTCATAAAGAAGGGAGGAAAAAACGCATCAAGAGTTATTTTTCCCTTCTCATAACAAGTAGAGTAATATAACACACGTTACAGGCATAGGTGTTCGCACGTACCGAGATGTGGTTGTTGGCAAGGCGCAGCTCCTCTAATGCCATGCACCCGCTGAGCTCATTGGTGAGCGACGAGAGTCCGTTGCTGGACAGGGAGAGCTGAGACGCGAGACGGGAGACCGGGGAGAAAAGGGGGCAGGCCGAGGGGGTGGGGGGGCGTGTGGGGGGCGTGTGGGGGTGGGGGGGGCGTGTGGGGGTGGGGAGGGCGTGTGGGGGTGGGGGGGGCGTGTGGGGGTGGGGGGGCGTGTGGGGGTGGGGGGGGCGTGTGGGGGTGGGGGGGGCGTGTGGGGGTGGGGGGGGCGTGTGGGTGTGGGGGGGGCGTGTGGGGGTGAGGGGGGCGTGTGGGTGTGGGGGGGGCGTGTGGGGGTGGGGGGTAAAGGTTAGCATCATTGGTGATGTGCACCCGCTGAGCTCATTGGTGAGCGACATGAGTCCGTTGTTGGACAGGGAGAGCTGGGAGGAGAGACGGGAAACCGGGGAATGTGGGGAAGCGGGAAAGCATGCGGGGGGAGGGGGGAGCGGGAGGGGTTGCGTGCTTGAGGCGACTGAAAGAGCATGAAGTGAGCTCATTGGAGATTAGCGTCCGCTGCTGAATAGATGAATTTTGAGTCGACTGCTGAATAGGGCGAGCTGAGAGGAGTCTTCTTTTGAGGCGCCTCACAAGTAGTCTCAGTTCATTGAGTGGAGTCATGGTAGTGGGGAAAGTGGGGGCAAGCGAGGGTAGGGCCGGGGGGTGGGGGGCGGGGATGGGGGAGAAGAAGAAGAGGGGAGGGAAGTGGTGGTGTGCGTTGAGAGCACGAGCTGATCTCAATGGGGAGCGACGTGAGCCCGCTGCTGGATAGGGCAAGCTGAGGGGACGGATGGGCGTGGAAAATGGGAAAAGCCGGGGAGGCAGGTGTGCTCTACAAAGTGCTCATCGGCTGCTGCTGCTGCTCTAAGACGATTCAACGCGCAGCAGCCGATGAGCTCATTGTAGAGCTGATGTCGTTGGTGCCCTTGCTGGACAGGGGGAGCTGAGGGGATCTAGACCTGAAAACGAGTAGACTGTATTCGAATTTGTATTCGAATTCGGATGAATATCAAATACAAATCGAGTCTATGTGGCTGTTCAAACTCGCCAAAACTCGACTTCCGATATTCGACTCGAATTCGTATTCGCCCAGCCATAACTCGAGTACTCGTTTTAGTACTCGAGTTTGGACATACCTGGCTCCTACTAGCATTTCATTGCCTAGCATCAAAGGTCCTAATGCTTTTGTTGCTACGCGATGCTGCTAAAAAACTTCACTTGCCACTTGTACAACCCCTCCAATTTCTTGTGAAAACCTGCAAGCACGGCAACACCCAAAAAACCGACGACGAACTCCAAGGGTAACTTCACAAAACTTGTAAACGCTCGTATGCCCAAAACTCGAGTGCATTCGTATTCGATTTGGACTCGACTCTATTGGACTCGTATTCGTATTCGAATTCCAAGCACAACTCGAACAAGTAATTTGTATCGTGATATTACACAACTACTCGAATGTGGAACTCAAACTCGAATTCGTATTCGGTTCTTCAGGTCTAAGGGGATCAACAGATGATGGCAGGGGTCGGGGGGGTGGGGAGAGAACGGTCGGCGGCGGGGCGGAGGGGGTTCAACCTACATCCTACTGAGTTAAATTGGTTTATGAGAATCTTCATTAACCTAAGGGGGAAGGATACTCCATCCTACTTGAGGATTTTAAGAGCACGTTAATTTGTTTACTTTAGATCACGAAAGTTCTCACATCCCACATCCCAAAAGTACCTTCTTGAGTGCTGAGAGGCCGCGGAGGGAGTTACCGAGAGAGGGCAGCTCGTTGTGCGATAGGACTGCAGCTTGCAAGGCACAGGGTGAGGGGCAGTAGTGAGGGGAGGTAGTGAGGGGAGGTAGTGAGGGGAGGCAGTGAGGGGAGGGGAGGTAGTGAGAAGGGAAGTCCCGAGATATCAGGTCAGGGTAACTCAGTTACAATGAGACTACAAGAGAACGTACTTTCTACCACATGCTAGAAATGTACTCTTTTTTTTTAGCACGCGAACAGTGCGATGCCACTGCGGAAAAATAGTTTGAGGTTCACCATCTGTTATAACCCCACCCTCAGGAGGTATAAGGCTGAAGCCTGAAAGCACTGACCCAGCGTGTTGAGGGGAGTGCGGTGACATTTGAGTCAACTCCAAAGCACTCACCCAGAGTATTGAGGGCAGTGAGAGGAGCCAGATTGCAGAGAGAGGCGAGCAGGTTGTCTGCACTCAGTAGAGGACAACGACGGGGAGGGAGGGTGGGAGGAGGGGAGGGAGGAGGAGAGGGAGGAGGGTAGTGAGTGAGGAGGAGAGGGAGGAGGGGAGTGAGGAGGAGAGGGAGGAGGGGAGTGAGGAGGAGAGGGAGGAGGGAGTGAGGAGGAAAGGGAGGAGGGGAGTGAGGACAGAGGGAAAACAAAGAGAGGAGTTAGATTGTAGAAAGAGCCGAGCAGGTTGTCTGCACACAATCCATAAACGAGGGAGGGGGGACGGGAATATACTTCTTAAAAGAACAAGCGCAGACAGACTGGGGCAATGCGTGCCTACCTACCATTAAGAAGCTGCGAGCTGCTATTTGACGCGCACCTGAAACGTCCGCACGGGTCTCAGTGCGCACGGTTCTCAGTGCGCACGGTTCTCAGTGCGCACGGGTTTCAGTTCGCACGGGTCTCAGTTCGCACGGGTCTCAGTTCGCACGGGTTTTGAGGAGCCTCAAAGACAGCTGTGATGCCGACGTACCGCTTGAGGAGGTGCACGCCTAAGACGACTTGGCAACGCAGCGGCGGACTTGCTCTCACAGCTTGAGCTGCATGCGTGCTTGCTTAGCATGCTTGCAGCTTGAGGTGCTTACTGTTCAGAATGAGTGCTTGCAGCTTGAGGTGCTTACTGTTCCGAATGAGTGCTTGCAGCTTGAGGTGCTTACTGTTCAGAATGAGTGCTTGCAGCTTCGCCAGATGGGTGACAGGAGAAATATCCGCCACCATGTTGTGACTGGCTTTGAGCACCTGCGGGGGGACAGACGAGACGTGAAAAAGATAGGGGGGGGGGGGTGGGGGTTAGGGAGGTGGACTGTGCATGTGAGAAGAGATGCCGCCTCTCAGATGAGTACTAAGGTGAGACGCCTGCATCCATGTTGTGACAGGCTTTCAGCACCCGCGGGGGGATAGGATAGGCAGGGCGAGACAGAAGGGGAGAGGGTGGTGGATGCGAGGGAGGGGCCACAACAGATTACAACAAGGGGAGACGCCTGCATCCATGTTGTGACTGCCTTTCGGCACCTGAGAGAAGTGGTAGGTCTAAAGGCCGCCAAAAGTGTTCAGGTGAGAAAATAAGCCCGACGTTTACATTGACAAAAGGAAGCACATGCATGGCTTTATTGAAGATCGTGGTTTCAGGAATCCGTACTTACCGCCAAAAATGGTGGAAGTAAAAGATGCTACTCTGAGGAAGAGAGGACCACAGAAGCTCACAAACGAATGCAGGAGCAAACAAAGCACAACGTGCTAAGGTTAGACGCGGGCAGAAGCCGAGCCACACCCGGCTCGGTTCGCCTCGCCTTTTTGGCGAGCCGAGCCTTCTCTTTTTGTACCCGGCTCGAGGCGAGCCGAGCCGGCTCGGCTCGGCTCATCACCATTTTTTACGGCGAGCTGGGGCGAGCCGGCTTGCCCCTGGCTCGATTTCGAGCCAAGTGGCTCGCGCCTCGGGATTTGGGGGGATTCCCGTGGGTACAGGTAGTAGATCGACGAACCGCTCTCTCACAGCCTAGTACCACGCCATCCCCACCCCAATCCCACTAACCCTAGCCAGCAACTACATCGTTCTACGTTGCGCGCGCCTTAGCTAGTCTTAAAGCTCCAACTAGTCTAGATTAGGAGTTTATGTAGGGCTTGGCAAACTCAATCCCCGCAGCGGACCAAGTCAAAGCTGGCAAACAGGGGTCCCCAACACCTAAAAACCAGCAAGGTGAGCCAAGCCGAGCGGCTCGCCGGCGAGCCGGCGCCGGCTCGCCAACACAGGGTTTCGGGTTTAGGGTCGCCAACATGGAGACGAGCCAAGCCGAGTCAAGCCGAGCCGGCCATCTCGGGGTCCCGGCTCGCCGTCGAGCCGGCTCTGCTCGACCGCGAGCCGGCTCGACTCGACCCAGAACGAGCCGAGCCGAGCCAGGCTCGGCTCATGCCCACGTCTAGCTAAGGTAACACGAACAGCCAGCCAAAGTACTAGATGGATGTGGTAGCGGACAGTAATACCAAGAGGTTATGGAGGGACGTGATTGGCTGAAGCGAGGAGACGGTGTTGCTGGCAATGTCCAGCCAGCGGAGCGAGACGCAGGACGCGAGACCCTGAGGGGATGGGAGGCGATCAGTGCAGAGAGAGAAAGCACGCGTAAGCAACCGTGGATGGCATGGGACACCTTGGGGAGCGAGGAATGCAGTTGCTAGCAATGTCCAGCCAGCGGAGAACGCGAGACCCTGCGGCGGATGAGAGGGGACACGTGAAAAAGAGGGATGAGAGGGATGAGAGGGATAAGAGGGATAAGAGGGGATAAGAGGGGATAAGAGGGGATAAGAGGGGATAAGAGGGGATAAGAGGGGATAAGAGGGGACGGGACAAGCACGTAAGAAACGAGATGCGTCCAACAAAGCCCGAGGAGGCGAGGTTGCTGCTGGGCTGGGAGAATCTTTGCAACAAGTCGTTGATGTGATGATATAATTATACGGGGTTTTTGGACAGCGACGACCGGTTGGTTGGTCGGAGTTTTGGCAAGCAACTGGCACATATCTCAACGAAACGCATCCCAGGATCTCGACTGGGCCCATAAAACCATTGGGCTCATAAAACCATTGGACCGAAAACCATTGGGCCCATAAAACCATTGGACCTAAAACCATTGGGCCCATAAAACCATTGGACCTAAAACCATTGGGCCCATAAAACCATTGGACCTAAAACCATTGGGCCCATAAAACCATTGTACTCATAAAACCGCTGGACTCATAAAACCATTGGGCCCACGTGCGCGAACTGACCTCCAGAGAGGTCAGGTTGTTTCCACTCAAGTCAAGGCGAGTCAACTGCGTGCACGAGGCCAGGCTCTCCACCTGAAAGGAGCACGGTGAGGGCGCAGGAGAGGACTTTTGAGGCGCCCCAAAAACGTTTCCACTCAAAGTCAAGTTGAGTCAACTGAGTGGGTGAGGCCAGTGCGTCAAGGCTCTCCACCTGGAGTGTGGGGAGGACGCATGAGAGGAACACATGGGGGGGGGCGAAGCATGGAGCGATGGAAGCGGGATAGAAGGTTTTATTTTTCTCTTTCTCTCTCACTCTTTTCTTTTCTTTTCCGAGAAGGGGTTACTTTACCGGGATGTGGAACCAGACACAATCTTGCATGCGATTGTGGGAGGACGAAACGAGTGGGGTTATCAACAGATTGAAAACGGCTTGGACGGGGTTTGGGAAATGAAAGAGCTGTCGGAGAGGTTTGTTTTTGAGACAATGAAAGTCCCATGGGCCATCGCCACGTCACTCATGGTGGGAAGAGCAGCGGCAACTATGCCAGGAGGAGTTTGAAGCCATCGACTGTGGTTAGTCCGGGCAAAAGCGCATCAGGCAAACGCACATCATCATCTAGTAGTTTAAACCCCTCCTTGAGCCCGCTGCGAAGATTGGCGAGAATGAGCACAGGAGTAAATCCAAACCCAAAACCCGAAAACCTTGAACCTTAAAAAACAGAACCCCAAATCCTGAACCCGCGCCCTTAACCCTGAGAAAACCCGAAACTTGGAAAGCCTCGTTAGCTCGAGCTCCAAGGAGAGCTCCAAGGAGAGCTCCAAGGAGAGCTCCAAGGAGAGCTCCAAGGAGAGCTCCAAGGGGAGCTCCAAGGAGAGCCCAAACGTCCGTCAGGTTCTTGACTTCTTGACTTCGCTCTTTCGTGCTCTTGTGGGTTGTCCTTGCCGTCAAGAAGTCTTCTGGGCCGACTCAAAAGAACCAGACTGGCTCAAAAGTCGAGAAGTTGGAACTCTTTAAAGTCCTCGTTGGCATCGGAAATATGCATATGCATCCTTGCTACGTATCTCACCTTCGAAAAGCCCCGCGAGGGAAGCGTGAGCTCGCGCCACGTGGCGGGATCGTCGACATCCACGTCAGCTGTTCGTCGCAGCATGTGCGGGGCCTTTTCCGCATCAGCAGCAGCCACGTCAGCCACCTCTCGGAGGTGCTTCTTTGCCACGTCGATCGTCAGCGTGGCCTCGGAGAGAAGGCCGGCCAACGCGGTGGCGCTCATGATTGGCTATGGCCGTGCCACGCTGGCACCTCAGAACCCGATTGGTTGATCGCGCTCCGAGGAATAACAGCTGTGACGAGCTTAGCTCCTAAGCGCCTTGGTTTTCCTAATACTGTGCGCCGACAACCGACCACGCACGATTGTCAGTCGCTTAGTCGCCAGTCGCTTAGTCGCCAGTCGCCAATCGCCAGTCGCAAGTCGCTAGTCGCCAGGCCTAGCGCAGCGGGAAAACGGACAAGCGACGGGATAGAGCAGAGTCACCTACAGCGTGGTGTGGGAAGTGCGGATGAAAGACGCTATGGATGGATCAATCGCTATGGAAGACTCTCGAACTGGGAGGGAAGGAGAAGAGGCTGGAGGCAGGCTGTCAAGAGGCACACAGACAATTTCGAAGCTTCTAACGAGTTCGCACTTGGGCGGGTTCGACATGGACAAAGTTTGCAAATGTTTTCGAAGGTTCCGCTTACAATGGAAAGCACATAGCAGGCATAACAAATCATGCCACATTCAAGATGCAATCGGTATTATGAAAATTGCTTTGTTGCGAATTTCTAGTCACACATATAAGTTATGTGCCTCCTCCCACAGTGGTTTGAGACCTCCCCATGGCATATGGTTGCCATTTATCTGGTAGCACCCAGAGGCCATGGGTCTTTAGGAGGCTCTTCTTTTCAAGCCGGTTCTCGAGTGCACTGCTGTGTAGCACGACTGGTCGGAGGGACTTGGTCTCAAGGTCCGTACGGAAAGCGGGATCGCTGCAACAACGCAATGAGGGATTGCAAAGGAAAGGAGAAACAGTAACTTGTTACATATCCATTGGAGATGCAATGCAACACCTGGAGGCCAAGAGAACTGCAAGGAGAAAATGGGTGGGTTGATGGCGTAAGAAAAAAAAGGGCAGTGGACGGGAAAAAAACCCAAAAAAAAAAGGGAACGGCAACAGAACGAAAACCCAGCTCACTTGAAATAAAGAGCCCCCAACAGGAACAACTCCTGCAGCAGCAGCGCCACCCTCAACCCACTCCCGACACTCCTCACAGCCCGAGTAAACGCGACTTCGCTGTAATTAATAGAGACTCCAGGCATCTCAGCACTAGGAGCAACCGAATGAGCCAACCTACTTGAAGTAAAGAGCCGTCGACGGGAACAGCTCCTGCGGAAGAAGTGCGACCCTCACCACACTCCCGACACTCCTCACAGCCCGGTTAAACGCGCCCTCGCTCTGATTCATCGGCACGCCGAACCGCCTCGTCTTCATCACCAAAAACTTGAGCTCCGCCTGCCACGCTTTGACCAGAGCCCGGGAGCCGTGTGAGGGGCGCACGAAGAGCAGTGCGGTGGAGAGCGGTCGGTCGGGGGGCAGCAGGGCCGGGCGGAAGAGGTGCAGGTTGTTGCTGGTGGAGGCGGCGTCTGTGGCCCAGAGGTCGAAGTCGCCGGTGAAGAAGCTGAAGGGCAGGCGCAGCCACACCATGTCTGGGTCCTGGTTGCGCAAAGAGGGGGGGAGAGAGAAGGGGGGGGGTTATGAAGGGAGAGAGAGAAACATTTGAGTTGTGCCAAGAGGTGGAGCTGGTTGCTGGTGGGGGAGATGCGCTTGTGAACCGGGGGAGGCACACAGGCAGAGGAGTGCGGTGGAGTGCGGTGGAGAGGGGGCGGTCGGGGGAGGTTTGAGGTGCCTAGCAAGGCTTACATAGTGGTTTGCATTGTAGAGGAAAACGCCGTGGCTTACATTGTAGAGGAAGGAAACGTTGTGGTGCAGCAGGCGAAGGAAGTGCCACGGACGCCTGTCCTCGATGCCCGCAGTCTGAGAAGAAGCAAGGGCGAAGGGTTCATGAAAGAGAATCGAGGGTGTTGGAGGTGCGGAGGTGGTTGCACGCTGTAGCAGGCAAAGGAAGTGCCACGGCCGCCTGTCCTTGATGCCGGCAGTCTGAAACGATGCGTGAGGAGTCTATTTTTGAGGCACCTCAAAAATACGGCTGCCTGTCCGTGATGCCGGCAGTCTGAAACTAGACATGGGAGAGATGATTTGAACAAAACATTTTACAAAGCATCTTACTCTCTCCACTCCTTGATGAAGTTAAAGATTTCGATATATTTATTACTTACATATATTCATAATAAGCATATCAGAATCATACATCTTCACATGCACTTCAGATTCATATATACATATATTTATATATTTTTACAGCGAGCGAGTCCAATGAAGCCTTGGAAAATAATAGACAACAAAAACACGGAAACATATATTGTCAAAACCGGATACTGTGTGAGGAAAATGTCCAACTAACTTACTGTAGTCCCTACTTAGGGGGGGGGGGGGGAAAAAAAAACCCATGCAAACGTGAGTACTGCTAGCAGAGGGTGATGATGCTTGTAGAATAGAATGATGGCTAATGTTCAAATAGAGGCAACGAACCCACCTGGTCCTCTTTGGGCGTCAAGATGAGGGCGGTCTGCAGCACAGGGTAGGGAACTGGCGGTTGAAGCAGACGCGGAAGGAGTAGGAGTCCTTGTGTACGTGAATCCCTGTTTCCAGCATCCCAGCAACGTGTTCAAACCCACCTGGTCGCCCTTGGGCGTGGCGATGAGGGCGGCCTGCATGGGGAACTGGCGGTGGAGCAGGCGGAAGGAGTAGTAGTCCTCCGCTATGAACAGCACTCTGCGCCCCATGCGCTTGCTGCGCACCGATAGGTACCTGCCAGGTGGAGAGGGGAGACGGGAACTAATCGGTAGCAAGAGCAGCAGGCGGAAGGAATAGTAGTCCTCTGCTATGAACAGCACCCTGCTCTGCGCCCAATGCGCTTGCTGCGCACTGACAGGTACCTGGTGACAGAGGAGGGGAGATAAAGGCAGAATGATGGGGAACTGGCGGTTGAGGAGCCGGAAGGAGCAGTAGGCCTCTGCACAGATAGGTACCTACCTGGTGAAAACTTGGGCAAACGGCATGTGAAAAAGACTCAGAGGCATGTGAAGTGAGCGTGAGGCGCCTGGAAGTTGCTGTGCCTGTGGTCATAGGGAGCTGGCAGGTCAGAAGAGCCGGAAGGAGTAGTAGTCCTAGCCTAGGCTATGAAGAGCATCCTGCGCCCCATGCGTCGCTTGCTGCGCACTGACAGGCACCTGGTGTGAGGGGTGAGGCCCTAGACCCACTCACCCCAATCACACTCGCTATCACACTTGATAGCAAGTCCCTCACGCCTCACTCACCCCAGTCACACTCACATGGATGGAGCCTCACTCACCAGTTGTGCACATACTCCAGGTTGACAGCGCGTGCCGTGACAACAACAGTGGCCTGTACTTTCCCCCTGTCGCATTCGCTACCACGGCGGCCAGTGGGGACACGTAACGCCGTCCTCCCAGTCTTCTCGTGCCGCTCTGTATCACTCTTCCCCTCCCATTCTCACCAGCTTTTGAGGCGCCTCAAAAGCACTCTTCCCCTCCCATCCTTATCAGCTTTTGAGGCGCCTCAAAAGCACTCTTCCCTTCTCATTCTCACCAGCTTTTGAGGCGCCTCAAAAGCACTCTTCCCCTCCCATTCTCACCAGTTGTGCACAAACTCCAGGTTCACAGCCAGAATCAGCACTACCCTCCCCCTCCTCCCCTCCCCCTCCCCCCCCCTAACAGGTGGTCACACTCTCTACTCGAGCAGTCCTCCCTCCTAGGGCAGCAACACATGGAGCCTCACTCACCAGTTGTGCACGAACTCCAGGTTCACAGCGCGCGCTGTGACAACCACAATCGGCCTATTCTTCCCCGCCGTCACGTTCGCTATCACGTCAGCCAGTGGTGGGACGTAGCGGCGCCCGCCCGGCCTTCTCGTCCCGCCCTCTTCCCCTACTCCCCCTCCCCCTTCTCCCCCTTCGCCTCCTCCTCCTCCTCCTCCTCCTCCTCCTCCTCCTCCTCCTCCTCCTCCTCCTCCTCCTCCTCCTCCTCCTCCTCCTCCTCCTCCTCCTCCTCCTCCTCCTCCTCCTCCTCCTCCTCCTCCTCCTCCTCCTCCTCCTCCTGCTCCTGCTGCTCCTGCTGCTCCTGCTGCTCCTGCTGCTCCTGCTGCTTCTGCTGCTCCTGCTGCTTCTGCTGCTCTTGCTGCTGCTGCTGCTCCTCCTCCTTCTCCTCCTCCTCCTCTATGCTCCCTTTGATCGTTACCATTACCACCACCCCAACCACCGCCGCCACCACCACCGCCGCCACCACCACCGCCGCCACCACCACCGCCACCATTTTTATATCCGTTGTCATTACCACTTATGCTACTAGCACCGTTATTGAACCCACCCCCACTGCCGCCGCCGCCGCCACCACCAGCACCACCAGAACCACCAGCACCACCAGCACCACCAGCACCACCAAAAGCTCCACTTTGGCCACCGTCCCTTCTACCATCAGCACCATGAGCAGCAGCAGTGCCACCAGCATTGCTGCCAATACCGCCACTGTTCTCACCAGCACTCTCACTGCTTCCCTCAGTCTCCTCCTTCTCCCCCCCTTCCTCCCCCCTTTCCTCCTCCCCTTCCTCCTCCCCTTTCTCTTCCTGCTCCTCCTCCCCCCCCTCCACCTCCTGCTGCTCCTCGTCCTTCTCCTCTTCATCCAAAACTTGATCCCCCTGCTCTTCCTTCTCCTCCCCTCCCTTACCCCGATCCCCTTCCTCCTCCTTCTCCTCCTCGTGTTCCTCGTCCCCCTCACCTCCCCCCTCCTCCCTCTTCTCCTCTTCCTCCTCCCTCTTCTCCTCCTCTTCATCCTTCTTCTCCTCCTCCTCCTCCCTCTTCTCCTCCTCTTCATCCTTCTTCTCCTCCTCCTCCTCCCTCCTCTCTTCCTCCTCCTCGTTCGCCTCATCTTCCTCCTCCCCCTGTTTGCCCTCACTCCCGTCCTCCTGCAGGCGTCTCCTCACAGTTACTGCCACCTCGGGTAACTCTTGCCCGGGCACCAAGGGCATAGCCTCTCTGGACTTCACACCCCGTCTGATACGACTGAGCTGCGCCCCTGGTTGTTGTTTTCGTTTCACTGTTTCCCCTCCCATCTTGACCACGTGTTCCACGCCTATTGGCTCAACTCTTATCCTCTCCACCGCTGGACGAAGGTCTATCTGATGTTGCTGCTTGTGCTCGTGGCTCTGTGTTGATCCAACGGTCAAATCAGCTTCGTCTAAGTGGCTGATTTCAGCTGGAGGGTGGTCAGGAGGGAGGGAGAGAGGGATACTGGAAGATCAATCGATCAACATAATGATTCATGAGATGAAGAGCATTGAATATTCCAGCAGCTGGAGGCGAGGGCAGAATTATTTAAAGACGAAAAAAAGTATTAACCATGACACGCGATAAGTAACTGCTCAAAAGGTGAGCGGCGCGAGGGCAGGCGAGTAACGCTACTCAGAGCGCAAAGTGCACCTCGGCAGTAACTAGGCTCGGCGACATTCCAAATATGTTTTTTTTTTTTCATAGAAGGGGTGTCTAGGGCATTGGAAACAGTGGAGCATATTGAGGCGTGCCCAATGCAAGGCGTCAGTGTCGGCGCGACAGAAGGGAAACCAGTGACATAGCTAGCCTTGTAGAAGTAAGGGCGTGTCCCAAGAGTACATATTACGGTTCACACCACAACCCGCCGTTATAGAGGCGAATCAGGCCTTTTCAAAAAGCCACGAAGCTGACTCAACCGTACAAAACGAACTTTAAATGTACTCTTGGGACACGCCCTAAGCTCAAGATTTCAGATACTATCCTCACGCGGATTAAATTACTCTCGGATAATGTCTATAGCGCGTACCTGCTGTGCCAGCGAATGCGAAGGCGGACACCGAGAAGGTTGACGAGACTAATAAGAGGAGCAGGCACCGCCAGCGAGCTCGTTCTAAGGTCATCATCCTGAGTGATTCAATTTGAGTCGCGGAAAAACCGCGAAGAGCGAGCAATTCTGCTGCCACGAACAGTGAGCATGGTGATGTCGCTGACTCTCTGCCTTGAGGTGGTTTTTGAGGCGCCTCAAATCCAGCAAGGACTGAGGCGGGGAAGGAATTGCGAGGGAGGTACTGTCTGGGTGGATTGGTTGGCTGGTTGGTTGGTGAAGCATGAATTCAATCCCTCACTAAACGCGAGGTCGTTACCGGACACAGGCACATGAACATCGTAGATTGCCTAATCAACTTGCAGCAACTTAAAGCCCAGTGCAGCATCTTAAAGCCCAGTGCAGCAACTTAAAGCCCAGAACGGTCGGCCGTGAATTAGACGAATCAATTCGCCCGCCTACGATAGCGTTTGCGCTCTCTTAGAACTGAAGAAGTGATGAATAGAGAGAGAGTACAAGGGTATATACCTAAGAGTGTTGTACCCTCTAAGAGGCGACCCTATACAGTCTATACAAACATGAGTTATGCATACGTTTGACACACCCCCTAGACTGCATAGGCGCAAATCCTGAACAAGCAGCTCAGGGCGGCACTACTAGTCCAGCCGCTGAGGAGAGGACACAAGTCCAGTCTGAGTACATATACAGATATATATAGGACAGTACAAGGTCAAGGTCCTAGCAAGTGAGAGGCTACAGGAATTAGACCGAGCTGTACACAGTGCCGATGATGATCTTTAGGCGCAAGCGCCTTCGTAAAGATATCAGCTGTGTTGGCACCGGAGGCCAAGTGTACTACGCGAGCCTGGCGGCGCTGCTGTAGCTCGCGCCGGAGGAAGTACCGCAGCTGAATATGCTTCGCTCTGCCCTCGAGTCGAGGCTCCTGACACAGGAGGATCATGGCCCTGTTGTCAGCGTACAGGACCGAGGCTGAGCTAGGCTGCTCACCTAAGTCAGTGAGCAAGAAGGTCAGCCAGCGGAGCTCCTGTGCCGCCATGGCACCAGCATAGATCTCGGCCTCACAGCTCGACTGGACAACAGACGAGGAACGGGTAGCTCTCCACGAGACAGCACCTGAACCAAGGCTAAAGCAGTAGCCCTGGGAAGATCTGAGAGTCTCGGCGTCGTCTGCCCAAGAAGCGTCTGTGTGTCCAGTAAGGACCACTGGCCTGCGTCCTCCTAGCACTAACCCCATGCCCGATGTACTTGCAAGATAACGCAAAACCCTCTTAGCGGCAAACCAGTGCTGCGGTCGGTGTCTGCATGTGGCCACAAAGCGAGCCAGGATGCTGAGAGGGTATGCGAGAACTGGGCGAGTGCAAGTCATCACGTACATGAGGCAACCCACCAGCTCAGCGTAAGGACCACTGGGCTCTACTGACTCCTCAGGAACTGGAGCTGAGAGTCTGTGGTCCAGAGGAAGAGGGGTGGGCTGTGCAGAGGAGAACTGAAGGCCGAACCTCTGAAGGACCTAGCGCACCAAGTGTGACAGAGTCAAGGTGATGGTGCGCGCGGCTCTGTCCCTGGAGATCTACAAGCCAAGGTAACGGCGCAGTTCTCCAAGGTCAGTGCAGGTGTGTCTCTTCAGCAGCTCTGCCTTCACGGAGGCCAGTGCGTCCCTGTCTGCAGTGGCAAAGACCAGGTCGTCTACGTAGACAAGGATGTAGAACGGAGTCTGGCCAGCACGAACGAAGAGTGAGGGGTCTGCGGAGGACGGAAAGAACTGCAGGTCGGCAAGGGTAGCACGCAGCGTATCGTGCCACTCACGGGGAGCCTGCCGCAGGCCGTAGACGGGACGCCGCAGGAGCCACTGGGTCCCCGGAGGGAAGGTGCCAGTAAAGCCCTGAGGGCGACGCAGGTAGACCTGCTCGTGTAGGCTGCCCTGAAGGAAGGCAGTGGAGGAGTCGAGGGAGTGAAGCTGGTAGTCACGCTGAGCTGCTAGGTGCAGCAGAACCCGAAGAGTAGTCATCTTCGGGGTCGGAGTGAAGGTCTGGAAGAAGTCCACCCCCTCACGCTGACTGAAGCCTCTAGCCACGTAGCATGCCTTGAACACAGGCGGCTCTCCGGGAGGGCGCTTCACCTTGAAGAGCCAGCGGCCATCGACTACGTTCACCCCAGGTGGGGGAACTGCGTCGACGAAGGTACCGGTGGATCTCCAAGATGCCATCTCCTGCTCCATGGCAGCTATCCACTAAGAGGCCCAGGGTCCCAAGACCGCCTCAGCGTAAGTGCGAGGGGTCGGGATGTCGAAAGCGTCTGGGTCACCCTCGGGGACTAGCAGCATGGAACAGAGATGGGGAGCAGCCTCGGACAGGAAAGCAAGCTCAAACTGGCGGTCCTCCAGGACGTCACTGCCGAGGGCAGGAGCACCCCCGACAGACGGAGGACAGGCAGGGTCGGAGACCAGAGCGGTGGCGTAGTCAAGGCGACGGGTAGAGGTGAAGTCAGCGACCGCAGCGACAAGGGCGTCAAGACTCGACACCGGAAAAGACGGGTCCGTAACGAGAGAGGCAAGGACCCGAGGAACAAGAGGGCGAGCAGCTCGAAAGTAGTCAGACAGGGGAGGAGGCGCAACGACAGGAGAAGACAGAGGAGGTGACGGTAGGAGGGGAGGACGAGACGCGTGGGAACGGAGCAACATAGGGTGAGAGCGGGCGACAGGGGAGACAGGACGAGCACGGGAGGGACGGCGAGACCAGACGTGAGACGGAGGCGTCGGGTCAGGAGAAAGAGGGGGGGACACAGGAGGGGAACGAGGGGGAAGACGAGCCGGGGACGAGTCCGGCGGAGGGAACACAGGGCCGTAGACAGGAAGAGGAGGGGACGGCGGGAGAGGAACAGACGCAGAGTCAGGGGACGGAAGGCCGAGCAGGCGAAGGGCGGACACCGGCGGGGACTGCTGCTGCGGCGACACAACACCAACACCAGGGCCGCAAGCTGCTCCTCGGCTACCTCCGAACCACTCCACGCCGGCACCCCTAGGAGGGACACCCCCAGAACGTGAAACCCCGCCAGCACCGGGACCACCCCCAAGCCCGCCGGGACAAGCCACGACAGGAGCCCCGGGACTAGTACCCTCCTCAACGCCCGCACCCCCAGAGTCCACGAACTGCTGTGGCGACAACAGCGGCGGCGGCAGCTGCAACGACGGCTGCGACGGCGGCTGCGGCGGAGACGACGGCTGCAGCAGCGGCGGCGACGGCGGCTGTAGAGGCGGTGGAGGAGGAGACACCGGGGGAGGAAAAGATGGCGAGGACCGCGCCGGAGGACTACCAGAGTCAGAAGACTCCTCGACCGGGACAACCGACGGGAGGGGGGTGACGTGAGACACACCAGAGGGGGCAGGACGGGGAGGGGGAGTGGAGGGGCAGGGACCACCGGGGAAGGAGTGACCAGGAATAGGGGGGGAGAAACCGGGGGACCACTGTGGGGGAAGCGGCGGTAGAAGGAGACTGACTCGTCAAAGGTGACGTCACGGGAGTGAAAGAACCGGTGGGACGGTGGGTGATAGAAATGCCAGTCGGACGCGTCAAGGGGAAAACCGAGGAAGACACAGGGAAGGGTGTGGGCAGTGAGCTTGTCCGTGCCAGAGGCACGAACGTGAGCAAGGCAGCCCCAGACGTGGAACGCAGACGCGTCACCCGGAGACCCAGTCCAGAGAAGGGTAGGCGAAACCTGCGGCTGCTGGGGGTGCGGCCACAGGTTAAGCTGGTGAGCGGCTTAGCGAACCGCGAACGGCCACAGAAAATGGGGTGCACCGGCGTGGATCATGGAGGTACGAGCCACCTCCATGACCAAACCGATGCGTCGCTCAGCGACCCCATTCTGCTACGGGGAGTCCGGCAAGGTGAACGTCTGGGTGATGCCCTCTACACGACAGAAGCGACCAAGGACACCTGAGGCAAACTCGCCACCACGGTCGGAGTGAAGACGCAAGACAGGGAGACCACGGCGGACACGCGGAGCAACAAGCCAGGGGATGAGGGCGTCAGGCACGTCGGCCTTCCGCTCTAGGGGAAAGACTGTGGTGTAGCGCGTGAAGTCGTCGACAAGCACAAGGAAGTAGCGCTCGCGACGCGGCCCATGGACGGGGGCGGGGCCCCAGACGTCCATGTGCAGGGTTTACAACGGCGCGGCGGTAGGGGGAAACGAGGAGGAGTGAGGGGCACGGCGAAGCCGGCCCTCGACGCAAGGTGTGCACGGTGGGGGGGGGGGAGGAGGGAAACTCTGGGAACGAACCGGGGAGACCAAGGATGAGACCGTGCTGGGACATGTGACGCAGACGCGGGAGCGCAGGGTGACCTAGCCGGTGGTGCCACAAGAGAGTCGGGTGGGTGAGGGACCGACAAGAGCAAGAAGCAGCAACCTGGGTAGACGCAGCCACCTGGGGAGGCGTCTCAGCCGGAAGGGTCACGGTGTCAAGTGTGAAGAGGCCGGACACCGGGTCCCGGGGGAACGTGGTAAGGGGAGGCAGCCGACACCAACTAGGTTCCTGGAGAACGAGGGGATATGCAGACCTGTGAGAGAGCCCGAAGGAACCGCCGGACAGGGAAGGGTGGTGGAACTGCGGGCGACTACCGGACCGCCAGAGGGGTCAGCAAGAGAAACTGCAGGAGGAACAGGAAGCGGCGTCAGCGTAGTGGAGTCGCGGAAGAAACACCGGGAAGCGCCAGTGTCCAAGGTGAAGGAAAGCGCAGCTGTGGCGTCTGGCGGCGGAGAAGCGGCGGAAGCACCGAGGCTAAACAAAGCAGGAGATCCTACGCCTGACGCAGCAGGGGGGTCTAAGCTAGGCACACCTACACTAGGCAACAAGGGGTAATAAGAGGGATACACACTAGAGTCATCAGCATACATCACATGCAGGGCGGCTAGAATGGCATCCATGTCCACGTCAAAAATCTGAACACTACGACTAAGCAAACTGTGCCAGTCCGGGAGGTCGGGCGACGGGCCGAAGCGCTGACGGAACAGGTCGTCCAAGCGACGAAAACAGCGAGGAGTGGAGTGATCGATCTTACCGCAAACGAAGCCGCGGCGAGGACCGGTCTGGATCTGGTACTGACAGCGCACGCCTCCGGAACCACCACCCGGCCCACCACCACGCGCACGTCCACCACCAGCTCCAGGCCACCCGG